ATGTAGAATCAGAACATCTTTTATATCTGCCATGATAAGCAGATGTAAGTCTTTAATGTTTAGCAAGGCTACTAGATAGTACATTTCTGTAGATTGCAGGGTAAGTAAGAATCTATTTTTTGTAATAATTTTTAAATTTAGTTTTGTCCAACCGTTATCGCTAGTATATTTTCATACAACGTAAATCATTATTAAATTGTTTATATATACGTTACAAGTTTTTGCTTTCTATTTTCATCTTTTTGCATGATTTAAATTTATTTCTCCATAACTTCATAACACATTCAATACTTACTTTCAATATATATAACAATATATATAACAATATATATAACAATATATATATATATATAAATATATATATATATATATATATATATATATATATATATATATATATATATATATATTCTATATGTCAATGCATCAATGAATATATAATCTACAACATCATTATTTTCATAAGCTAATACAAAACACAGAAAAACCTATATTATATCGTATGCACACTATTAAGTCAGAATTATTTTTTTACGCTGGGAAAACAGTTTGTATGTATTTAAGCGTTGTATAACTTAACTAGGTCATCTCAATGTAGTTTCTTAACATTTTCAGTACCTGGTGCAGTAGAGTTATGGAGTACTTCATCCGTCCTCTCACATTGTTTTATTTGGCGTCATTGTCTCAAGCACATCTGATGCGCATTTGTTCTAAAGATATTTACTTTAATGACAGCAGTTTTAATGAGTAAGTATTGGATAATTAACATGATGCAATCGTTTATTTAGATTGGATTTATAAAAATTTCAAAAAAGTAGATTTACACTACACTAATAAAATGATAAATTTCACCTTCTTTTCCAGTTTTATTGACTGTCTGTCCAATAAAAACATACAATGTATAGTCAATTACAAGTATGCTAATTCAATTTGGGCTATCGGCTATGTCTGCGAAGTCAAAAATATATCATCTCAAGATATAATATTCAAACCAGTTGTTTATAGATGCAGATGCAGTAATGAATTCAGGGTTCATCAAAATGATGTACACGACCAAATCTTATGTGAAACTGTTTCTGCTTACACTTGTCAAGAGAACACTAATACTCACAATATATATTTTGCTGCTATACTTTGGAACTCATCTTCTGATTATTTACTCAGTAACCTTGTTCGTAACTGTTCTACTGCATGTAATAACTCGGCAAATGTAACTCTATACACGAAATCTATCTCATATGATACACAAATGATGTATAGAGAATCAGGTCCAGGAGGTGATATTTTTTCTAAAGCAGACACAACACCCATCTACAAAACGTACTCTACATCAACAGAACAAAATATTCTGCCAACAAAACCTAATGCAACTCAATCTTTAAATACAACAGAACTTACAACTACTAGTAACTCTGAAGGTATAAGCACATCTAAAGTAATTGGTATCACAGTTAGCTTGGTTTTAGTCCTTGCAATTTGTATTATTCTTATATTTTACATCCGGAGAAGACACACAAGAATTAGACATACGATCAAAATGTCTCAAACAGTTGTGAATCCTGGCATTGGCATGCAAGATAATGAAACGAAGTCTGCCTGTAGAAGAAACAACCACATTCAAAATGAAGTGGATTATTCGACTGTTTACGAAAAAGAGGATAACTACCAGAGCGTGTGTCAAATGAAGAATTCAGTAGTAGATAGTGTTATGTTTGGAAATCAACAAATCGGTCATGGAGGTACTAGAGAAATTGTCAGTTCGTATGTCAACATGATAGGTATCAATACAAGACCTGGTAGTACGAAGAACAATATAAAAGACACATACGACGAAGAGCAACATCGTTCACACTCAAAACTAGAGTCTTCTTACTCTTTAGATAGTCTTACATTTGGAGCTTCATGTCAAGAAGCACTTAATTACGGATACGATAGTTCTAAGGAAAGTGTTTCTGTGGATAAGACAATGGGAGTATCTCCTGGTTACAATCTCATTAGAGATGAATTAGGCTACACCAAAATAATGAAAAATGTAAAATCAAGACAAGTTTAAAAATGAAATTTTAAATTATTTTATTTTTATTTTATAAAACCAAGAGTTGTATTAAATATGACGTGTTTGGGCCAAATTAACTCAACCGCGAATAATCGCTTAATTATTTGATAGGCCCAATAAATATTTTATAAAGCAGGTACATTTATTTAAATAAAAAAGGTTATAATAATCTGACTGTTATAATTTTGTTGGACGTTACTAAAGATTGATTGTAAATAATGTTTTCTTTTTAATATTTTCCGGTAACTTTAAAAAAAACAATCAACAATGTTATTGTTTGTTACAGAACGTGAAAAGGAAAAAAAAAGGTTAAACTATAACTGAGTCATATGATTTTCCGGTTAGGCTTGATTAAAATGCATCGAAATGTAGCTTTAAACTAATAAAAAAAAATAGTTTATAGTTCTCTGGATTTGCAACTTCCATAACATTGATTCTAAAAGATTTAAGATTCTTAATAATTTTAGGCTTAAATTATTATCATAATTTTTTTTACATTCGCTTTCATAGCAAAATCTAATAAAACATCATTTATATCAATGTCAAAATTAATGTGCAATGATTCTCGTCAACTTGGAAATGTTTTTTTTTTGTTTCTTGAATTACATTACTGATGTTATGGATGTATTCATACTAAATTAGTAGTTTAATGTATTACGGATTACGTTGTAGTATGCGAATCAGAGATATTACGGCTTGCGGATATATTTGTCTAAGTTCAACATAAGTCTGATAATTAAATAAACGTTTGTGTTTTTTTTTCTTGTTGCTTGATTTAATTTTTTTTATATTGTTGTGATGGTGTTTTTAACATTCTAATTCTTAGTTAGAAAACAATGAACACAACATTTAACCAGATCGAACTCATCAAGACTTCCTAATGTGCAGAATTTTGGTGATACAAATAGTTTAGCTCAGCTCAAAATGTTTTTTACTGGACCCGCTTTATTTGAATTTAAAAGCTCGAAAGTAGAGCTTAGAAATTATTTTAAATTTACAAACATACAAACATACACAACGCATGTTTATTATTTATTTATTGATAGTCGGGATACACAAACTCACACACAAACAAAACTCACACCTATGCGTATATACTCTCACAAGCACAAGCACAAACACACACTCACTCCCTAAAATACATAATTTACAAGTTTTTCCAACCTTGCTTCTTTTTACAAACGGAATTTTCTTTCTGAACTAACTGTTAAAAGTTTAAAACTTCCGATGAGCACTTGAGTTTCAGGGGGCGGGTGGGTTTTGGAGACAGTATACAATATCTATACATGTTATAAATTGTTTCTGATTATACGACGGGAGGGTAGGAAAAGAGTGGTGGGCAGTGGACGCGTACAAAAATATCTGGTACAAGTTCATTCTATTTAAGACAAAGACTGACTTGACGGCTCCCGGTCAAAAACCCCCTGGACATAAACCCCCTGGACATAAACCCCCTGGACATAAACCCCCCGACATAAACCCCCTGGACAAAACCCCCCGCGACATAAACCCCCTGGACAAACCCCCCCCCCCCCGCGACATAACCCCCCCCCCCCCCGGATAATAACCCCCGGACTGAGGTTTATATAAAGAAATAATAACGATGATGTGAATAAAAAAATAAAAAAAATTACATTAAAATAATTTTATTTTTTACGACTAAGAAAATAGTTTCTACGTAAAAAAATGCTATTCGAGATCAAGGAGTGACCTTAGTTGCTTTTGATCAAAGATCGGGCACCGACAACACCGTAAATATAGGTCATCCACATGGTCATCAAAAGGTAGGATGTTTTTGTTTTGAACATAAAGACAACCTTAGGTTATTGGAGGTTAATCAGCACTGGTTTATGGATGGTACAACTACAGGACTCTGGCCTTCAACAACTCTACCAAGTTGATAGTGAATTTGCTCTCATGCTCAGAATGCTACCTGCGTTGGTTTTTGTTCCTATTGAACACATTAGTTATGCCTTTGAAAAATTATTGGAAATTTTCATCCAAAGAAGCACTGCCAATTGCAAACTATTTCGAGGACTACTATATTGGCAGGCCACAACGTCGATGTCGGAGACAGCCTATGTTTCCACTTGATATGTGGAACATGCACACACGTGCAGAAGACCATATGCCAAAAACAAACAACTCAGTTGAAGGATGGCACAGAAGTTTCCAGTCGAATATTGGATGCTGCCACCGAAATATTTGGAAATTCATTGACTTTATTAAAAAGGAACAATCTTTCCAAGAGGTTTATTGTACACAGATGAATTCAGGTAACTGTTTACCAAAACAGAAAAACAAAATATTGATAGCAGCGCTCGAATTTTAACTGTTGTTAAAAAATTAAATGAGTCCGCCATTATTGAGAATTTGCGAGGCATCGCTCACAATCTGTCTTTTTAAAGTTATAAAAAAAATAAAACAGTTTTTTCTAATGTTTTTTTTTTGTATTTATATATTAATTTTGGTTCTCATCATCTTTAGTTTTTCCTAATATAAACCTCAATTGGGGGGTTTTTGTCCAGGGGATTATATCGGGGGGGGGGGGGGGGGGTGTCCAGGGTGTTTATGTCGGGTGGTTTTTGTCCAGGGGGGTTTTGTCCAGGGTTTTTTTTGACCGGACACCGACTTAACATACAAAAGCGAGGGTGTATTTAATCATGTGACCATTAACATTACAGATTACCTTCCATCCCCCGAACTTTGATTAAAGTAAAACGTACCCTAAAGTAAACTGTTAACGCTAGTATTCGGAGCAACGCTTGACTGATACATTAGCAGCGTTAACATCATTCTACCTGCATCTCGCTGTGTCAACACTACGGCAGGTAACTTTGTTCAGTACCGACTCAACGTACACGGATGTCGTGTGACTAACGTTGCCTCGGTTTCAATCTAGGTTCTCAATTTTAATGTGTGCGACACAACAGAGACTCCGAAGAAATGTTTATTTCAAAATAAGACTAACACGGTGTTAACAATAAATTACTAGACAGATTTTCATTAAAGGTAATTGTTCAATCATCATTTTTTTTTGTTTTCTAATATAATGTAAGTATATTTAATTAAGCAACAAAAAATAAAAAACAAAAAAAAAACAACAAAAAAAACAAAAAAAAACCCACCAACTTACACCTTAAATGACAAGCTCATATTTATTTAATCATTTATGATAAGTTTATTATAAATTAAATTACAACGGATAATGCGGTGGTTAAATAAATAATGTTCTCTCGCAATAATTTCTACTTCTCATGTGTTTGACTCTTGCGCACAGCACACATTTTGAAAACTGATTTTGTTAGCACATACGGTTAGCTAGAAAAAATCTTACAATTACAGTCCAGAAAAAAAAATGTTATTTTTGTCCAAATCTAAAATGTTTTTTGTCATTATTGAGTTAATGATTTCTTTTAATAAGTTTCAGTATAGTTCATATTTTATGAGTTTATATATTTTAATACTAGTCTTCGTTTGTTGTGCATAAGTACATTTGCCATTACAAAGCAACACACTAGCTTCGACTTTCGTGTAAAATGTATTTTTAAAAATGTAATCCTTAAGTTGAAAAAGAAAAAAAAATTCAGCCAATCAGAGCAGCGGCTTACGGATACATACAGTATTTATTTTAGATTTTTTTCTCCGGGGGAAAAGCGCGATGTGAATTTTAGGGGAGTGGGTTGCTGAATAATATGTTCAAGAGGTGGGATGGGGTGGGGGTAGGGGGTTGGGGCAGGCGTGCTAAAAATGTATTTACTATATAACTATGTATTTTTCACCCCCCCCCCAACAACGAAGATACTTGAAATAAACTATGAACACACCTGCAGGTTTTACCTTACTCTGCCTGCATCCTATGTGTCAATACTATACTAATTGTATTTTTATCCGTTTCAACTTCGATCATCAATTTACAACACAGACTATTATAATTATATTATATTTAATTCAATATGAGAATAGATCTGGCTTTCACTATAAAGTGACCATAGTGATACTAATCAAAGGTAATTGTTCAAACGTTATTTTATTATTTTAAAATCATGTAAGGAAATTTATAAACAAACAGTAGACGCTTGATCACGAGGGAGATTGTATGATTTCAGAAGTCCTGAGAATAACATCCAGGGTAGATAAGAGTCATATGACGGTGACGGCAACTAGACTAGCAGAGTAAACTACACAATCAAACAACTGTTGCATTACTAGAAGAGTAAATTACACAATCAAACAACTGTTGCATTACTAGCAGAGTAAACTACACAATCAAACAACTGCTGCATTACTAGCAGAGTAAACTACACAATCAAACAACTACTGCCTCACTAGCAGAGTAGACTACACAATCAAACAACTGATGCATTACTAGCAGAGTAAACTACACAATCAAACAACTGTTGCATTACTAGCAGATTAAACTACACAATCAAACAACTACTGCCTTATAGTCATAATTATATTTGAAATATTATCCACTAACTTAAAACGATGCACAAGTTATTGGCTTTCGAGAAACTGGAAGTAGAGTAAGTACGGCTTCTTACTACAAGAAATCATTCGCAAATTAAAGCAGAACTACAAATTTGATAACATACTTATATATAAAATTTCGTCAACATATTGTCAGGTTATAGTGTTTACAGACAAACAAACATACATAAGTTAAATTGCAAAACGTCAAAATTTGTTAAAGTTTCGGTTTAGATTTTGCACTATTACTATTCTTCCTCTATTCTTCTTTATTCTTCCTCTATACTTCGTATGCAAGAAAGTAGAAATAATATAACGTAAAAAAGAGTGTCGAGTTTAAAAAAAATACAGATAAAATAAAGTTAAACTAATAATTGTTATTTATTCGACCCGACTGTACGATTGTTAACATTCGGGGTGACTTTTAGCTCACCAGAATGGTGGAGGTGGAGGCGGTAGCTATATGCCTAAAGATCGAAGGAGTAACAGCGTACGTTTACGTGGTCTCCATGAAGAGAATTATATATACGAGCCGACCCGCGGCGTATCACACGCCGCTATTTAGTTTTATTTTCTACTTTTCAGTAATTCATAACTTGTGAATCCGGCAGTACCAATGCTGCTACTGAAAATATTTGCTTTAAATCCCCCTTTCCTCCAACCCCCCCCCCCCCCATCCGTGAAAGCAGCCTCCCCTTCGTTACCTCCCCTAAATTTAAAATAATTTCAAACTTAATTATCTGCCCCTAATAGGCGTCACTAAACCCGGCTCTACGACCATGCATATAGATTATCCCGTATACGTTGTATTCATTGTATACACACAGCCCACACTGCATTCTATCTCATAACATGTGTCTAGCTTCAGTCCCGCGCCATCTCTCAACACTGTCAAACCTCAACATCAAACTTGTGCATGTATCACAAACCCGTCTCGACCTTACAGATGATAACCCTGTCACTGCTCACCTTGACCTTGGCCACAGTGTCCGGTGGCCCGAGTTGGAACTTCACCAGTCCTCCGGCCACTAAACACGACACGAAACAAGAAAAATTGAACTACACGCTGGACAATGATGGATTCAATGCGTGAGTAGAACCACTTCTTAGTTTGAAAAGCGCCCTATTTAAATCAACTCACAGCTGTTCTACCACATCTTCAAGTCGAATGTAAAGTATAATTGTATACACCTCACTAAACGTGGGATTGATAGCTGGGAGGTATCTCACATAAACTTTATCGAATAGTCTTAAATAACAGTCCGAGCGATGGCAACTTTCGAGCTATAAGCATGCTTTTTAAATCAGTTTTTAAATACGTGAAATTTTTCAAAAAACAACGTGTGTATAATAGTACGGAAAATTAGTATTTTTTTACGAATAATGTAATTAATATTCAAAGAGTTAATAGTTTATTTAATTAAGTAACACATTGACTTTAAGTCTTGACCTACGTAAAAAGTTCAAATAACTCGATCTCGTAGTAATGTTTAATGTTTAGATCGCATTTTAATTTAAAAAAGGTGTATTTATATAACGGCGTGCTGCATGTTTCGTTATTTATTCTTAGAGTGATTTGAATAGAACTACATTAAAACAAGTCGTGGTGTACTTTAACGACCGTACAGCTTGCCGTAACTACGTATTTTTATGCTAGGTGTAATGGTATACTTGTTATTAAATTAAGATGTACCATTAAAACATTTTACCCTGTCCACCTAATCACATTGCTGGTACTATAGGTCTTTTATTTAAACACGGGCTATTAGCTTAAAATTATTTCAGTTTACTATTTGCTAAACCGAAAGTCCCGTAAAGTTGACTTTCAGTTTATTCTTAGCTAAAAAGTACCGAGTACGAAACCCTGGGCAGATGAGGCTCGATAGCACGGGACAGAGTTCTTTTAGGAGAGAAAACTCCGAAAAACAAAGAACTACTGTCTTGTAGTTTGTGGTTGAAAAGAAAGTCGAAAAAATAAAAGCAGGCTAAAATCTGAATCAACGGCCTATATGGCGCATAACAAGTTGACACGTAATACTTACATGTGTTGGAGGGAATCTAGTTTAATAATACAATTAAGAACGAATTAGAAGAACTCATACATTTTCATTATTACAAGTTTTAATGTAATTTTAACGTTTATTTGGTAGTACTAATATATAAAGCAAACGACAATATACACCAATTGTTTTTCTCTTGTTTTAGGATCATCAATGCACTGAACAACGATATCACCTTGACGAAATTTCGGCTCATACCTCCGAAAATGACACTGACCTACTCCGATGCCCTAATTCCATATCATAGTTGGATCAAGCCTTGTGCGCCCAAACCAGGTCAAAACCTACTGGACTGTTCGAGCTACACTGATCCGTATGCCACTTGCTTCTTATTTGTTGACCTTCCATGCAAGGCGAAACCAGGTCATTCCAGATGGGAAGCGAACATGCTAATGGACATCACAGTTAAGAAAGAAACACACTCAAACAACTCTATCTTTACTATAGACGACTGTCGGGTTTTCTGCTTGGATATAGGCTATTACGATGAGGATATGTATAACGGCGGGAATGGTATTTCTTACGAGATTACTGGGATTATAGCTGCAATCGTCGTGAAAGCCGGCTTTTGGGTGATTGCAGGTGGGATCTATATTTGCTATAGAAGGACATAAGGACTTCATATTATCTAGCAGGAGTTTTATAGTGTCCCACCAAGCAAGCCTGTACTGACGATTTGTTCCGTTTATAAATACTTCCACTTGCCCAGTTTTATTTAATAAAGTCGGTGTTTAGATTGTAATTTAAAACCATTTATTTTATGAGGAAATTACGTCTATGCTTTTATTAAAGAAAGAAAATTAGGTTTATTTTCTAGTTAGTGCATTTAAATGCTGGTAATTAGAAAGTTTTTTGCACTAGTTTTATTTTCAATTTTTTTTTTAGTAATTTGTTTTAACTGAAGTTGACACCACATAGGCTATGACTATAACAATTTGCGTTAAAATTTGATAAGTAGCTTTTAATCTCTAAAAGAAAACTTCCTGCACCTTTTTAGTCCAGGATCGATGCTCAGGAAAAACATACCCACACCTAAAACAGAAGTAACCGCCGACGGCAAACTAATAATGCGATCGCTAGTATTTAATCTTGTTATTTTCCGTTTTATTTTTTAATAAATGCCTAATTAGATAATAATCTAAACATTCTTTCATTCCTATCGGATACGAACGTAACTGGAAATCGAATGCATTAGAAATTGGTCCACCCACATCTCAAGTCAGTACCTGGCTCACGTTAGGGAAAGTAAAGGCGTCTGGTCCTAGTGCAGACCACACTATCTTTTCATATGCTGCGTTCACTGATACACATGCACTGTTATCACTTAACGCATGAACAGTTACTTGCAGTTTAAAATTTGTAGACCCGGCCTTTAGTCCGATTTGACCTACTATCAAGCGGCCTTCAGTTCACCTGGTTTGATTGTATCAGGCGTGAATTTCCGGCTGTGGTATTTCACAATTCAAAAGAAAACATACACACACATACGCGCGCACACGCACACACACACACACAATGAAAATAAAAAAAAAACAACAGGACCCTCTACAAATGTGTGATAACCATTAAAAATATCCGCGCCTGGTTATTGTGAAATTGTTGTTTATGAAAGAAGTGGGCCTATTTTAGAGGAGGGAAAACCACAACATTTTATTTAATTTTTCAGTTGTTTTATTTACTTCATGCCTAACTTACTAGATTCAGTCAGACAGTTGCTTTGGTCTGTAAAACTGAAGTTACGTTTTACTGTTCATCACAAATACGGTAATTATTATATGTGTGGGTGATTTGTTACTTTAACTTAATGTTTACAAAACTAGCTGCTTATGCTTAAAGGAAAGTTATTGATGTGTAGGCCTATATATGCCTATATTTGATAATAATTTTTTTCTAAAACTAATTATATTTTATTATGATAAGTAACATGACTATACTCTTTGATTTGACTTAATAATTTACATAACTACCAATGTACAAATGTAATCTAATCGCTAACGATTAAAAACAACTCATATGATTTAAAAACCAAATGCTCTGTATTACTTCGACACAGTGTAGACATTGCTGTTGATTGTAACAGTTGAAGTAGAAATCGTTAGTTTATCGTATTTAACTCACCAGGGGCCATCCATAAATGACGTCAGCCTTTTTTACGATTTTTACCTCCCCTCCCTCCCCTCTGTCACACACCATCACAAAAAGCCAGATCACCCCCTTAAATGACATTACACCTCAGCCAACAATCACCGCCCCCTCGAAATTGCAGTTGAATTTTTCTTAAAACATTTTTTCCAAAATCTTGTCTGAACTCGTTCAAAATAGAGTGTTTTAATCAATTCCTATTACACTTTATTACAACAGTTTTCTAAAACGCGAAATAATGCCTAAAACTCGTTTTCAAACATTGATTTTTTTTATAATGCAAAAGTGTGACGTCACACCATCTCAACCCGTCCTTCCCATCAACACACACCGTCACAAAATTACGGACCCCCCCCCTTCCCCCTACGAGTGTGACGTCATTTATGGACGACCCTCCACCCCTAGTTACAAACTTTATTTCGTTTCTTATGTAAATTGTTTAAGCAAATACAAATATATACAATATTTTTATATACCATTTTATATAATCATGTTTTGTCATTATTATTAAGATTGTTGATATATTCAACAGTGAAACTCAATGCTATTAAAATTTCAACGAAAAATAGAAATACAAACCACCAAATATATTAATTTTAGAAGATAATGAAAAGTTTTCTTGAGGCAGTTTCTACAACTCACGTGAACAGATTTGCATCTTTCATTGAAAATATATTATTTCAACCTGACGTAGAACTATGAAGTTGAACGACACTTTCCATGAGGCGGCTACGAGAGCTCAAGTTTACCGCACCCAAATCTTCATCCTCGCCATAACTGCTGCGGCTATTCTGGTTTTTGTGACGTTTTTCAACCGTCTGTCTAAACAAATCACGGTCCTTTTTTGTGTAGCAGAGTTCGTTATTCTCTGGGAGATACTTCAAATTCAAAACCGTGTAATCGAAGATCAAAACCGTTAACTAAGGAATTTTTTAAAACTGTTTGTATGTACATATAACGAGAAACGTATACACACTGAAATTAGAAAAAAATATGTATATTAATAAAAACAAAAATTATTTTTAAAGTGTTCCAACGGTAATTAAAGTCACCAACAGATGTATAGTCATTGACAGCATTAGCGCATTAAAATTGCACACTAAATATTTCAATATGTTACCGGCATATCAGTACGACAACTGCAGCTCTGAGGATTACCTACCTAAATTTTTGGGGAAAAAAATGGCGGTTAGGCATAGTGCTGACTACACTTTCATGCCGAGGTCTCTGAATCAGATGCATTCTACTTCTTCTGCAATAAGTACCCCGAACACAACTCACGTTTGGGAAAAAAAAAATGGCGGTTAGGCATAGTGCTGACTACACTTTCATGCCGGGGTCTCTGAACCAGATGCATTCTAATTCTTCTGCCATAAGTGCCCTGAGCACAAACGGGAAAAGATGATGATCTACTTTAAGTGAAATATATATTTCAATTACTTGAAATATTTTTTTTTATTCATCGTCCTCATTAAGAATTACAACTGCAACGAACATTTTTTTTTAAGGTGTTTTTTTTTTCTTAATGCGATACATTGGTTTTAAAACATAGGAGGAACACTATCAGTTGATGTTGTTTTATGATTAATTGTTTCGTCCATTAAAACTTGCTTACAGTTTTAGTTGATATTTATCTAATAATAAAACGAAGTATAAATTGTATGGTTTTTTAGTTTAATTTTTAATTTTTATTTTTTTTATTACCTAATACAAAGAAAAACAATGCAAATGAGTACATATATGATTTAAAACTTCTCATAATAAACTGATATTTAAAAAAATATCACGATTTGATGGCTATGAAATGGGATATTCCACATACGTCACGCACAAATATCCTTGTCTAGAAATAGAACAAGGTAGTCTAATGATACACGACAAAATGTATTGACACAGCCTAAGGGAATCTATGTAATGTCACATCTTATATGCATTTCAATTGTCTTGCTATATATATATATATATATATATATATATATATATATACATATATATATATATATATATATATATATATATATATATATATATATATATATATATATATATATATATATATTTATTTATTTATATTTCATGATGTCAGAAATTATTAGGATGTAGAATCTGAACATCCTATATATCTGTCATTTTATGCATCGAACCAAATAAGTGTTCAGAGTTTAGTCATGGTCATAGTATTGCATCCGTATAAAGGCCCACTCTTACACATACTCACAAACATAAACTCACACGTACTAGTAAATACTTGCGAATACGTAATCACTTAAAAAAACTTACAAACACAAACATACATGCGGTTCTCTCAACATTGTTCCTATTTTTACAAGTAAGTGATGCAAGACCTATATTTCATAAACTGACAACCCAAAATTAAAACTTCCGATGAGCGCTTGAAACTATTTTTCGTTGGGCGGATACTAATTAGAGTAGAAATTTTACATTATCTATACAAATTATATATACGAGCCGACCCGCGGCGTAACCCGCTATTTAGTTGTTTTATTTTCTACTTTTCAGTAATTCATAATTTGTGAATTCGACAGTACCAATGCTGCCAATAAATATATTTGCTTTAACAGAGGCGTAGCAACCCTTCCCGGCGCCCGGGGCAAACTTTTCGATTTGCACCCCCCACCCTCAAGATTTTGATTTGCATTCCCCCCTAAACTTTCGATTTGCACCCCTTGAACCTTTCAATTTATTTTTTCCAAACCATTTTGGTGCCCCCTAAGGTCGGCGACCGGGGACATATGTCCCCCCCCCCCCCCCCACTGTGCTTTAAAACACTATCAGTAGATCGTTAGACGATAACCCTCCCTCGTCCTCTCCCCAAACGCTACCCCCCCCCCCCCCCCGCCCCCGTGAAAGCAGCCTCTTCTTGGTTATCTCCCCTAAGTTTAAAATCGTTTCAAACTAAATTATCTGCCCCAACCAGCCGTCACTAAACCCGGCTCTACGATTGTAAACATTTAGCGTGAACCACAGCTCACCAGACCACAGACCATGTAGGGGTGGGGGTGGTAGGGAGCGCGCTTACAGCTTGTTTTCTATCGTCTCCAAGAAGAGAATTATATATATATATATATATATATATATATATATATATATATATATATATATATAATGTTGTGTCTGCCGTGAGAGTAAATGGTGTAGGCGAGGGGGAGGGGAGTGTAATGGACGCAAAATAAAAGTCTGGTAATGTTCATTACAGAAAAAACAAAGCGAGATATACATATGGGATGGGCGCATTTTAAACATATGCCTCATGTAATAGATAATCCTTCATTCGCATACTGTACCGCACCTCGAAAATATCCCAACACTCAACGCACTATTGACACATTGTAAACATTACACAACATATCACCTGAAGAGACTTATAAGGGAAGAGGACATTTTCTTTGTTGACTGTATAGATATTTAAGCAATCGGTCCATATAGATTTATCAGTGGCGTAGGGAGTTCCGGTGTCAGCCTGCGCCGCACTTAATGGTGTCACCCCCACAGAGGCGTAGCGACCCAACCCGGGTACACATTTTCAATTTTCAACCCCCCCCCCCCCCCCTCAAACTTTAGATTTGCAACATCCCCCCCCCCCCTCAAATTTTTCTATATATATTTTGCTATTTTTTTCACCTTGGTGTCAGCCCCCCCCCCCCCAAATGGTGTCACCCGGTGCGGTCCGCACCCCACGCCCACCCACCCCCCCCCCCCCCCCCCCCCTCGCTACGCCTCTGAGATTTATTGAAAAGCTCATTTTAAAGGAACTATCAAGGATCGTTGGTAGCGGAATACATTTTTTGTCGTTTATATTTCATTCACATACGATTTTCTAGGAGTACACATAAAGTTTCCTTTCAAACCTGACGATTCAAGAGACGAATAGAGTTCCCCTTTGACCTCGGCATAAGAAGGTATTGTACGGTCAGCACTATCTCAAGTCATAAGTAAAAAAAAAGGAAAAAAAAATGTTAACGGTTAACGTTAGCAGTTGCAATAACGTTTTGACTGATACACCTACATCTTTTTAACGTATTCCACCTGCACTCTCATGTGTCAACACTGTGCCTGGTAACGTTACCCAATATTGACTCAACGAACACGGAAGTCGTGTGACGTACGTTGCATCCGTTTCAGTCAAGGTTCACATGTTTAATGTGTGCAACCTAGCAGAGACTCCGAAGTAAGTTTTGTTTATTTCAATATAAGACTTTAACGGTGTTGACAATAACTGAGCCTAGTGATACTCATTAAAGGTAATTATCTAATCGTCATTATATTTGTAATATTACTTAACCGAATTCAGGCAAAAAAAAGAAGGCTTTCCGTCTCTGTAGGCATAGGTCATGGTTGCTAACTACAAAATTTTTAAAACAAAGCCAAAGGATAATTGTTAGCTGAGAAAAACTCCAAAATAGAAAGAAATCTACACATTCAAACAACTGCTGCCTTGCTGTTAATGGATGAACAACTTATGAAGGAAAAACAAAGCAAAGCAAGCTTAAGTCCGAGCTAACGGTCCATTTGGCGTATAACATGTTTACATGTAACCCTAGCTTATTATATTTAAGAAACACAAAGAAGAAAAATAAACACAGTATATTCATCTTCATATATATGTAAATAAAATACATGTACATACAGATATATATGCAGAATATATTATGAACTGTGGAGTGACAAATTTGAAAAATCACAGTATAAACACAGTATATTCATATACATATAAATAAGTAGGCCTATATATTTACATAGATGTAGCTAGATACATATGCATATTATATTATGAACGTTGGCGTGATAAATTAGAAATGCAAAAAATTAAAGTTTGAGTTGAAGTTATCATATTACTATCAATCATACTAGTTTTAAACTTTGTTAATGCATAACGATTTGTTTCAACAGTTTTACGATGTCACCCTACGTTCCATTAAGAACCGTCCTGTTTCTTGCTATACTGCTTCACCTAGTCAATGGTCGAGAAAGTAGCATGAGCATCAGTTTGAAAGCAATTTGGTTTGATGACTACTACTTTATGAAGTAAGTATTCGATTCCTAGTCTATTTTTGTGCACACGTCTTATAACTTTCTGGGATATTCTAATGTATGTAAGCGTTAGGATGGCACTTCCATCGGATTCGGGCTAAAGAAAAAGTGGTAGGATGTTAACAAAATTGTAAGTTTTTTTTTCAGAATATGTTGCTTTATGAAATACTATGACATAAATTATAACATTTGAAAGTTTTAAACAAAAAATCGGAAATACAGAAAAGTATAACCAGTGGCGTAGCGAGGGGGGGGGAGGGGGGTGCGGAGCGCACCGGGTGACACCATTTAGGGGGGTGACACCAAGGCAAAAAATAGCAAAATATATAGAGACAAATGATAATTCCACTTACTTGAGTGATTAATTCGAGTGTTAAATAGTCTTTTAAGAGCAAATTTAACAAATTCCGAGAACGGTGTGGGGGAGGAGGTGCAAACCAAAAGTTTGAAGGGGGGTGCAAATCGAAAATGGACAGTGTGTCCCCGGGCGCAGGGAAAAGTCGCTACGCCTCTGGTGGGGGGGGGGGGGGTGACACCATTAAGTGCCGCACCGGGTGACACCCGACCTGGCTACGCCACCGCGCATGACTACTGGTAAAGGACGGTGTGACTTTGTGGCTGAGCGCTAGACTGCTAACCCCTAAGTCTCGAGTTAAAATCCAGGTTCAAATTAGTGGAACATGTTACCGAGTCCGCTCAGCTCTGAAGAGTACCTAACTCACGTTAAGGAAAGTAAACACGGCTAGGCATAGTGCTGACTACTTCATTTGCCGAGTTCACAGAAACAGGTGAATTCTACTTCACCTGCCGCATAGACCGTCAGGTTTAAAAATAAACTTTACTTATTTACTTGACTAGCACTTATGGTAACCGAAAAACGCGAAAATGTTACCATCTTAAACTTATCTGTGATTTTACATCCACCGAATTAAAACGATACGCAAATTATCAACTACGCGAAAAATGAGTAAAAAATGTCACTTCGTATACGAGAAAAGAATATGAAATCAGATAACGTTTTTAAAATCTCACCCTAATGAATTTTAAAACTAAAAATACTTAAATAGAATAAGCTTATAATTTTTATTTTCAGATTTTTTGACTGCCTCTCCAACAAACACTTCGAATGCTATGTTTACTTTCAAAACGATCAAACATTTTTGACACACGAATCAGTGTATAAGGTTGAAGCCACGTCCTCTAAATCGACCTCTTCTGCCACTTCAGTCTACACATGTATGCTAAACTATGAGAGCTTTATGGCACTAGATTACGTAAAATGTATTCTAGGTGATGGCTACAAATGTCTAGGCTTAAGTTCAAAAACTGACTCTCGAGTGGTTGCCATTCGTTGGAGCTCCGTATACGACTATTTAGATAGTGGTCTTATTAAAAGCAGTATCAGCAATTGTTCAACGTATCTAAATTTGTTTTTGTATTGGAAGACTTCACCAGACAGTATAGATAATGATCCTACAAGCCATGTTACAGATCATGATGAAATCCCTACAGAAATACCGCGAAATACATTTTTCGTACAACCGACTTTTCGTGTGCCTAGCCTTAAAGAGTCAATTACCTTTAAGCCTTTACCTGAACCGACAAGTTCAACGAATACAAATTATAAATTCATCGGATCTGTAATAGCAGTTCCCTCTATTATTATTTTAATGGTCGTCATATTTTGCCTTCGGTACAGGAGAGCGATGCATTCAAGTTCAGTGATTGTTTCTAGACGGGTCGAGGTTTCACGTGTATCTGTACTAGACCAGAATAGAAACATACTCAGACAAATAGAATTTTTACAAAACGATGGCAGATCTGCTAGAAGGGAAAACAGAAGAAATAATAAACACGGAAGAAGGGTTGGTACAGATAAAACGGATGACTGCGCATATGGGTCGGAAAACAAAGACACCGATAAGATTTTAGCAGTGGATGGAGTCAAAGGTAATAAGGTTGGGAGTTGCAACGATGCAGCAAGTTTTCAAGACGAGTGTCAAGCAGGACAGAACATAGCAGCGAATGCAACTGGTTATAGTGAAGCAGGGGGAATCCGTTCCGTGAATACCCGTGAAGAGACAAGCAAGCCTGTCGGAACAAAAACATCGGATTGTTGAATTAGATGGGAGTGTATTCAGAGGCGAGTGGTATGAGGTGGTAGTGTTTTGAGGAGAGAGTGTAATCAGGAGGGAGTGTAATGAAATGGTAGTGTAATGAGAAGGGAGTGTAATGCGATAGTAGTATAATTAGCAGGGTGAGTGAGCTGGAAAAGTAATCATTGAAAGATAAATGATGTTTTTTTTAAATTAAAATGTATTCTTTACTAAACGGATGTAGATTGATCTAAATTAAGTAAGAACTTTATGATTGGAGTTTTTTTTTAAAGGAACAAGTGACTAAAAAGACGTGAAATGGACAAGCTATCATCCGTTTCTTAAAAAGTATTTAAATAAACTTGAGATAAAAGACCATGACTGCACATCAATTAAACGACACGAATTTCTAGCCATAATTTTATGAGAAGTTGAATATACTGTGTAGGGATTTACACGCTATTACATAATGTGTTAAATACAAATCTTTTAGACAAGTGCAACTAATATGTTAGTTTTATGCATAATAAAAGACAATGTTTTACTTGACAATATATTTGCGATTTTCTCAAAGTTTTATTTCATTTGTTGTTATTTAAGGAAAATTGTATTTTTTTTATTACATTAGCTTTTATTTAGTTTGCAACGTCTGTTTGTTAATTACAAGCTTTTATTTAGTTCGCAACTAATGTTCGTTTGTTTGTGGGTTTATGGAAAATCTTGTAACTCAATTTTGATTCATTTCTGATTGCGCTTATACTTTCTAGGTACGTTCCATTAGTTTTATTTTCTTATATCTAGTGCATTTAAAAGCTTGTTGCTATAAAGGTTTTTTTTATATTTGTTTTATTTACCTTCTTTACTTGTGTAATTTGGCATAATAAAAAGCAATCAATAATATGTTGTTGTTTTTGTGACTAATTTAATTATTTATTATTGAAAAAAATTGAAAAAGAATGTAACTTTATGGACACGAATAACGTTAGTTTCACTAAATGAAAAGATGTCGATAGTATGTTCAGGCTTGATGGGGGTTTTGTGTGGTCAATAATTTAGTGAGTTAAAGATGGAACAACCTGAGGATACCACCTTTTGTAGGCTAACTCAAGAGGTTTAAGTTAATGGCCACTCGACTAAACAACTACGTAGTAAAACATATAATGAGGAATTGATTTCCCCTAAACTTTCTCAAACATGCTTACATAACACTACGGGGATGGCAACTCGGGATATGGACATGCATTTTAATCAATTTTTAATTAAACTTTTTAAAAATAGAATAATATCGTGGAAAAAGAATTGCGCACGAAGTATTGAAACATACTTAAGTTTTAGGCGGAAATCGCTGAAAAGTTGATATAGAAATACATATTTGATATAATACTTTTATATGAAATTTCATCAACCTAGGTGTAACGGTACTCAAGTTATCGTGTTCAAAGACAGACACACACATAACCTCAGCCTTACCCTTAACCGTAACCTTACCTTAACCCTAACCTTACCCTAACCTTGCCCTAACCTTACCCTAACCTTACCCTAACCTTACCATAAACTTACCCTAACCTTACCCTAACCTTACCCTAACCTTACCCTTATCCTTACCCTTACCTTACCCTTACCCTTACCCTTACCCTTACCCTTACCCTTACCCTTACCCTTACCCTTACCCTTACCCATACCCTTACCCTTACCTTTACCCTTACCCCAAAATTAACCATAAACGAATCCTTAACTTATGTAAAAAATAAACAAATAAATATTATATATATATATATATATATATATATATATATATATATATATATATATATATATATATATATATATATATATATATATATATATATATATATATATATATATATATATCCTTATCAACATGAAAGTGCATTACTTTTTATTTTAAAAGTTAGGACACAGCTCACTGTTTTAAAAAAAGTCATCTTAATTTATGTGATAGAGCGGAAAATATGTTTTCATCTTCCCGTTTAAGATTTAATTTAACCAAGAGAGACAACCGAAAATATATGTTGCAGAATGAAATATGTATAAAATATAATTTATAGCTCATAAAATCTTTAAAATATACTCATTTAACTTTTAAATTTTTTAAAAGTAAAACAATTTGTATGCAGACATCTTTTTTTAAAATAGTATTATTTAGTATTTCAAATTTACAAATATGTCTACTTTAAATGATGAACGAATGATGAACGAATACAAAGTTAAGTTTTTACAGGTATAAATATGAAAGTTCATCATGATTAATGTTTCTTCCTCGGTTTTATTTTGCTCAATTTTTTAAAAAATCGTACACAGATATTGCAAGCGATAAAATTAAAGTTACTTTTTAAAAATTAAAGCCGTATTGGAACCATATATATTATATTACACTCACTTTCATAGTTTTTGTATTGAGGACAAGCCGTTGGAAAGCGGTTTAGAATTATTTTATCAATTCAAATATTTAAAAAAAAAACTCTCACAACTGCTCATTGAAGTCAACCGGAAGAGCCAGGGAGAGTAGGGAGAGTAACTACAACAATTGTTTTTCATGATAAAATACACAATAGCGGTCAATAGTGTATAGCCTAGTTAGTAGTTTATTTATTAAATAATATAACATACCCTATCACCACAACACCTAATTCTACTAAAAATAAATGTGTTAGCTAAATTACTAATATATTACTAGTAAATATCTGCTTGAATATCTAAAACCGAAAGTGTTATGATGCATGTTTGACTTGGGAGATCGGTGCGCAGGATTGATGGTGCGGCCGTATATTGAACGAGTGAGTGTGTGACGCTGTACGCAAGAAAGTGACGTTTTAGTGTGAGTTCCGTTGTTGCCGGGGAAGAAGATTGAAGTTAGTCTTGTCCGTGTTATGTTAGAGTTAGGTTGTCTAGTTGTAGTATCGTTTATCCAAGCTGTCCGTTGTCCATTTCTTATTGTGCAATAAATAGAGTTAGTAACCGATGTCATTCTGTCAAATCATTCGTTGATGTCGTCGTGTCTCAAGATATACTATAACATAGCTAAACATAATCAAATGGTAGTGATATGGAAAGATGGTATTGGATCAGGTAGTTGTACCCTCTCACTGCATAACTGTGGTACACATATAGAACTCAGCAGTTATAACAGAAAGTCATTTTCTACTTATTTCTCAAATGTTATACAATATAAAATATTTGTTGAAAAATATGCTTTTTTGGAAGGTATTTTTGGAATAATTTGGAACCAGCTTTTTAAGCCTATTGAAAACTCAATAAAAGTATCGCCTATGTGTTAAAATTTGTCCATATATTTTAACACATTGGCGATGTTAAAAATTTAAAAATAAAGTGCTAAAATATTTACAAACGTTGTGTAGATAGGCCTACTAAGCGAGTGTTTGTCCAGAGATTAAATGTGGAATGATTACAAAGATCAAGTAAAACAGCCCCGTTTAACATTCACCGCTTACTTGTCAACCATCAAATCGAAAGGTTGTTCCTATCACCGAAACATTTTGTCTAAACTCTATCGTGTTCTGATCACATTATCATTTCAAATGCCGAGGTCTCAGAAACAGGTGAACTCTAATTCACTTGACCCCTGGAAGGTTAGGTTCATGAGGGAACCGTTAATATTCTATACATCTTTTTTTTTATCCATTCATTGTAATTAATACGGCAAAAACAGGTTTATTACTCAACTTATATAACACGAGAAATAGAGAAATTACACACACAAAAATAATTAAAAAACATCATATATACATAGATTATATATATATATATATATATATATATATATATATATATATATATATATATATATATACGTATATACGTATATATGTATGTATATATATATATATATATATATATATATATATATATATATATATATATATATATATATATATATACCACCCCCTAATCATCATGATAATAAATTACTTAATTTCTCGAAACATAAGGAAATATAATACTTTAAGATTTACGAGGATTCAACAGAAATGTATCTTCAACTTCCCATTTGAAATGTCAATGCAACAAAGAGAGACAACCAATATATATGTTCCAAAAAGTTTGCTGGACATTAATTACTACAAAGTTTTAAATTATTTTCAATTTTATTATTTTTTTCCTTCCATTTCAAAAGGAAAAAAACAAGTTAAAGCCGATTTTTCCAAAAACATTGTATTGTTTAGTAGTTTAAATCAACGTCCAATTTTATTTTAAAATAGAAAACGCATAAAGAAGTTAAATTCTAAAATTTATAGATAAAAATATTCAGTTTAATTAACACTCCTTTGGCTTCCTATCGTTTGCTAGCATTGCTAACATAAAAATTACCATGTGTTTTGCATAGAAAAAAAAATAAAAAAGCGAGTGTGATATCACCAAATCACCAAAACATTCTGTAATATTTTTTTTATACTAGCCATAGGTACGCGTAATATATATATATATATATATATATATATATATATATATATATATATATATATATATATATATATATAAATATATATATATATATATATATATATATATATATATATATATATATATATATATATATATATATATATATATATATATATATATATATATATATATATATATATATATATATATATATATATATATCTTATAACACTTGTTCGAAAACAATCTGTATATATAATTCTCTTTATGATGACCATAGAAGACACCACGCAGCGCAGCCACCACCCTCATCTCCACCTGTCAGGTCAGTTGTGGTTCACCCCGAATGTTTACAATCGTAGAGCCGGTTCGGCTATTAGGGGTAGGAGCAGATAATGTAGATAATATGTCCAATACAAGAAAAGTAGAAAATGTAGAAAATAAAGTATATACTACTATTTAAATAACTATAAAGAAAGGCATGGATCACTTTAGTATCTATTGGCCTCCCCAAAATTTAGAAACAGACCCACGCTTTTCTTTATAGTTATTTAAATAGAAGTTTATTCTTTATGTTCACCTTTTACGTGCATTATTAC